ATTGAGACCATTACTCCTTGTTCTGTCAACATGAAGGTTAAGGGGTGACTTGATTCCAGTCTATAAGTACCTACATGGGGAAACAAATATTTAATAATGGGATGTTTGGTCTAGCACAGAAAGGACTAACACAATTCAATGGCTGGAAGCTGAAGCCAGACATATTGAGACTGGAAAGAGAGAGGGTATTTAACATTTGGAACAACTCCTCAAGGGTCGTGGTGGATTCGCCATCACTGGCCATTTTTAAATCAAGATTGGCTGTTTTTTAGAAGATCTGCGGTCGTTGGAAAAGAGTTACTTTGGGGCAGGTCTCTGGCCTGTGCTGGGCAGGTCAGGCCAGCCCTTCTGGCCTCGGGATCGAGGGTTCTGGAGAGGGATGGCGGTCGGGGGTGGTGGGGCTGGATTTGTAGCAGGGGGTGAACAAGGCTGGTTTGGATCGTCAATCTCTTCCCTTCCCTGTCCGGGCAGTTGCTGAGCATGAGGAATCCTGACGGAGGCTTCGCGACGTATGAAACCAAGCGGGGGGGCCGGCTGCTGGAGCTCCTGAACCCCTCGGAGGTGTTCGGTAAGGGCAGGTGCTCTGGGCTTCTCCCCAGCTATTGTCACTCGCACCGTGAGGGGAGGCAGAGCCAGGTCTGCTGGGCGTGGTGCCCAAGGCAGGCTCGGGGGGTCTCGGCGCAGTCACACAGTTAGTGCCCCTCCCCAGAGACAGCCACGAGTCCCCGTTTGATGGGGATCCTCGTTGCTCTTTCTCCTGTCTGGCAGGTGACATCATGATAGACTACTGCTACGTGGAGTGCACGTCGGCCGTCGTGCAGGCGCTGAAGCACTTCCACGAGGCCTTCCCCGAGCACCGGGCCCAGGAAGTCAGGTAACAGAGGGGATCGCCGAACCGTCCGTTCACAGCTTGCACCCTGGGGAGGTCAGTAAGTGGGGCCTGCTGGGATGAACCTGGCGCAGGCCCCATCTGTACGCTCTGACCCGCAGGGCAGATCCTGCCGCCCACACAGCTCCGGGAACGAACCCGGTAACCGAACACGGCAGCTGCTGTCCCAGTTCAGTGGGGGGGCACCCTCCTTTCCTAGCTACCCTTTGAGAACAGCCCGCCTGAGTACATCCGCTTCCTGTGTGAGGCCAAAGGGCCACCCGGCATCAAGCAGGGCCCTGGGGGCACAGACCAGGATGTGTTTCATCCGCAGACCGGCTGGGAAGGCACCGGCAAATGTCCTGGGGTGGAGATCCTGTCTCCATCTGAGTCCCCAGGGGCCATGGTCAGCAGCTGCACAGGGGCTGTGGAGGCTCAGTCCACCTTGCAGCTTAAGGCCCTCGAGTGACTCTTTTAATAGGGGCTGGGCCCCCACTTCTCAGAGGGGATTCGAGCTCCTAAGGAGCCCCTGGGTCGGGCTGGCAGCAGGATGGACGCTGCACACTAAGGAACCCCCTCTCCTCCTATCTAGAGAGACGCTGCGCAAGGGCCTGGAGTACTGCCGCAGGGTGCAGAGAGCTGACGGCTCGTGGGAAGGGTGAGTGGCCGCGTGCACTGCTGGTGCAGCAAACTCCACCCTGCTCAGGGCAGGGAGTGGCTGGGGTGAGGAGAGAGGTGCTGGTACCTGCACTCTTGGGCAACCCTCTCTCCCCTTTACCTCCAGGTGTGCCAGTGTCCGGGGGAGGGGGTGGGGGGCTGGCTCAGGGAGCCCACAGCAGTCCGGCCTGTTACAGTCGTGTCTAGGGCCCCCTGCAGACCAGTGCCTGTGGCGCTGGGTGCTCCCAGTGAGTGACTAACCCCCTTAGCTTGCGGACTAGAGACAAGCCAGACGCAGCGACGTGGGATGGGATGCGACTCCTGGCCCGTGTGTGTGCGATGGCTCCAGTAAAGGCTCAGCGTAGCCTGAGGCGACGGGACCCTTCCCAGGTCTGCGGTGGGGAGGGACTGTACTGAGAGGCGGGGACGTCCCAGGCCTGTCTGTGGCCCGGGGGGCCGGTGGTGTTAGACCCGCAGAGCGTTCTGCGCTGCCTGACGCTGCCGCTCTCCTCCCATCAGGAGCTGGGGCGTGTGCTTTACCTACGGCACCTGGTTCGGACTGGAGGCCTTGGCCTGTCTGCAGCACACCTACCAGAACGGGTGAGTGTGGGAATCCGGCATGTGGCTCCCTGGCTGCCCCGGCCTGCAGGGCATGGCCTGGAGTGGCTGGCGCCATCCCTCGAGCACGGGAGGTGCTGCATCACTCTGCTGGGGGAGGAGCTTGTTCAAACCCAGAGCAGCCTTCCCCTCCAGGCATTGGGTTGGGCTCCTCTGTCCTCCCGTCCCGTGCTCACTGAGTGTCACAGCCCCCTGGGGCCCTGTCCCCAGCCTGTGGCCCCCTGGCTCCAGCTTGCTGGCCGCTCGCAGGTGGGGGCTCTGGTGTTCAGAGCCAGGTTGTGCACTCACCAGAGGAAGCTCGCCTGCCCTAGGCTGTTGCTCCCACCCCCGGGGGCCAGGTCTCATCTCGGAGACCCCGGCTCCTGCGAGAGCCTCCCTGCCCCAGCTTCACACTGTCTCCTGCCCCCACCTGCTCCGCCAGCCCCTTCCCCAAAGCCCCATGAGGCTGCCCTGGCTTAGTCCCTTTGCTCTACCTCGTCCCTTTAGAGCCGCATGCAGGGAGGTGGCCCAGGCCTGCCAGTTCCTGGTCTCCAAGCAGATGGAGGATGGTGGCTGGGGAGAGGACTTTGAGTCCTGCAAGCAGCGCAGATACGTGCAGAGCCCCACCTCCCAGATCCACAACACCTGCTGGGCCCTGCTGGGGCTCATGGCCGTCAGGTAGGAGAACCGACGCCGCCTCTCACGTCAGAACATCGTCCTCTTCACCTGCATTCACAGAGCACAGCCCTGCCAAGGACCTCGTCACCGGGGCGCTGGCGTGGAAGCCTTCATTCGCGCCATGCCTGCCCCCTGCTGTGCACTGCGTGTCCTCACCTGGGCTAGCCCAGAGCACACGCCCCAGCCCGTGCCGAGAGGGGTTAGCCAGTGACTGCTCCAGTCCACGGGCTGGTGCTTGGTGCCCGTCGTCACACCACCAGCTCTCCTACAGCGAGCGTCCCGGCTCTGTAAGGCAGCAGCACGGCCCAGAGCTGCCACCCCAGCCTTAATAAATAATAATAATATATGGAGATATACCTATCTCATAGAGCTGGAAGGGACCCTGAAAGCTCATCGAGTCCAGCCCCCTGCCTTCACTAGCAGGACCAAGTACTGATTTTGCCCCAGATCCCTAAGTGGCTTCCTCAAGGATTGAACTCACAACCCTGGGTTTAGCAGGCCAATGCTCAAACCCCTGAGCTGTCCCTGTGCTGGGCACTAGTGGGGAGAGGAGAAGAGCTTTCCTGTCCCCGCTGCAGTGCCGGGGAGGGAGAGGAGAGCTCCGGCTGTGGCTGCACATGGCGGGGGTGGGGGGCTAGCATGCTATTCGGAGTCAGCACCACTGACCTCTGCCCCTTCTCTCTGCAGATACCCGGACGTTGGGGTGCTGGAAAAGGGGATCAAGGTTTTGATTGACAAGCAGCTGCCCAATGGGGACTGGCCTCAGGTATGCA